TTTCCCGAATCAAACCTCTGGAGAAGTGATTCCCCCGAGCAGGTTTGCCCCAGGCTGGCGGGAGGATGAGCTCTTGCTCAGGCAGCGCAGGAGGACGAGCCCTCCTCCACGCCGACCCGAAACCCGTCAGCAGCATCGCCCCGGACGCGGGCGACGCACGCGGCTGTGACCGACACCCCCCGTTCCCCGCTCGGGATCTTCATTCCCCTCGTTGGCTCCTGCATAAAACCACGGGGCAAAGAAAATCACAAAAAAATGGGTGCTCTGGAGGAGCCACACAGCTCTGCTGCCGTCACAGCGCAAGGGAAGTGCCACAATTTGGCTTTTTTTTCAGCCCCGGTGCCCCTCAGACGTGCTGGGCTGGGAGCGTAAAATCTCTGGGGGCGAGGGACAGACAGACAGACACATACACACAGACACCTGATAAAGTGCACTTCTTCAGGCAGCCCGCCTACCAGATAAAGGGGAATATTTGGGGATACACTGCTCCCCTCGCCCGATCCCTAGAGATCTGGGGGCAGAGATGGGTGCTCGCAGCTGCCCAGCCGCACCCCCGGGACCCGTACCCCTGCCTGCGCGCCACCTTCAGCCCGAAACGCCCGCGGGGACCTTGCTGGGCAGCACAGCAGCAGAAAGCTCTGCTCCCTGGCATCCCTCCCAGCAGCAGTGTTACAGAAAAGCCCCCACCGTCACGCTTCACCCCCCCGACCCTCCCGCAGCTTGGCCTGCACCCTTTGCCAGGCAGGATCAGCCCCGTCTAAGGGCGATATCCAGGTACTCATCAGCCCCTCCAAACCCATCCCACTGTGTTTTCAGCCCCGTGAGGGACCACATGAGCTTTGCAGGGGTTTCCCAGACACGCGGTGACACCGGGCCAGGCCACCCATACCTGGCCCACCCCGCAGCAGATGACGTCTCTTCATGGGCCATAAGGCAGAGCTTCATTAACATCTGCCAGGGCTGTGCTTCACCTGGCAGATGTTCTCCTGGAATGGCCGACGGATCTACTGCCCACAGGAGTCCAGCCGTGCTGCCGGTTTCGTCTTGGCGGGGGACGGAGTCCGTCTGTCCTGGCTGGCGGGGGTGACCTGGCAGCACAGCGCCGAGCGCATGAACCGCAGGACCGGCGGCCTGAGGATGGCGAAGACCCAAGGGTCGATGATGGAGTTGATGGAGAGAAACCTCAGGGCTAGGAGGTCCCAGTCTCCCTTGTCCTTTTGCTGGCTGAACTTGTTCACGTAGGCACGGATCTGCAAAGCACGACGGGGAGAGATAACGTCGGGTCTGGGCTTCCAGAACCTGGCCCCTGGGCAGCTTTTTGGGGAGATTTGGGCTGTCACAGTGCACTTTCCGCCTCCACTGGTTTAAATTAACGTCTTGCTAATGAAACCCAGGCCTGTGCTCTGCTCTCGACACGCAGCGAGGCTTCGTTTAGCCCTAATGCAGTGAAGCCGGCCGCTGCTTAAGGAAGCGGTGGTCTCTCTACCTTGAAGACCCCACGGGACAAATAAAGGCGCGAGATGCGAGGAGAGGCTGAGGGAGCTGAGCTTGTTCAGCCTGGAGAAGAGAAGGCTGAGAGGGGACCTTAGAAATGCCTACAAATATCTGCAGGGTGGGTGTCAGGAGGATGGGGCCAGACTCTTTCCAGTGGTGCCCAGCGACAGGACAAGGGGCAACGGGCACAAACTGAAGCAGAGGAAG